GTTACATATTTATGTATATGTGTGTTATATGTATGATGTGTCAAAAATCTTTAATTCGATATAATTTTAAATAACTAATGTTATTATATATGAAAATCGTGTAAAACTTAATTTTAATTTCATTGAATAAAATTTGAAATTATTATAAGTTATTATTTTTGAAAGTATAGTTGACGTAATTATACACAATTGTTTCGTTCAGAAAATTTGTACAAATTTGGGAACAACATTACGTATGAATTAGATTTACGTATAGTACATTATATGTACAAAGTACTTGAAAAGGAAACTAAGTTATATATTTTTACAACACGTATATATGTAAGATAAAATTGGTATTCAGTATAATGAAAAATGTACACATTAATGTACTTCAATTTACTTTCTAAAGTATAAAGTTTACAAAACATAATTAAGATCTTATTTAACGTTTCTTTCTAACACATATAGTACTAAGAAAGGATTTAAATGAACAAATTTATGTTATTTATTGTCAATTTTAACATGCTTTATCACAAGTATTAGAAACTTTTAATGTTGTGCAAATGAATTGTGACTATGAGTATGTTTCGACTCATTAAAAGACAGCGCATCTCGTATGTGTATGTTTCCATTAATTATGAACTAGTTCACGTACATCGCTGTCTGTCACAAACTATTTGCGTCATCTCCAGATATTTGTAGATGAAATTTTTATAAGTGTTTTTGATGCAGTTTTAATTTTGTTCTGTTGTGTTTCCCATAAATAAAGGTGAGGGTAGTGACAGATGAGTGACAAGAAAAGACAAGAATGGCGATGTGAATTTTCTTTTGCAGTGTAACGGAAAATATATGGATTCGTTCTTTCTACACAGATTTTCTTGATACGTGTAAATAACATCCATTTCCTGCATTGAGAAACGCGGAAAAAAGTAATACAAATGTATTTTAGTTATTCGCTATGATCTTATTCGTCTTATTAAGATCAGTTTCTTATTTATATACTGGGGAACTTTTGGGGAAAGCCGTAGTATTAACATTTTATACAGTTTTCTAATGAATAGAGAATCAATTGTTTCTCGTATGTAATACATCTAATTTTAATTGGCACATAAATATGGATAGCAAACATAAACACATACAGACATATGTTTCTTTATATTTTACAGTGATATTAATATTGTTTTAAGATTCATTACTGTTTTCTTACTCACACAGGTTAATCCTAAATTATAGAGATGACTCTTATTGAAGGTGTTGGAGATGAAGTCACAGATTTTTGTATTGTTATGGTCGTACTCTTAATAGGCTGGCTTGCCTGGTGTTCTACAAGTATTACAGATCAGCCATTAATACGCACAGTACTTATTTTACAACATCGCACACGCACACGTATTGCTGAGCTTCGATCTAATCATCCTATAAGCTCCTTTAATCGTCCTCCAAATTTGGAAATATCAGAGGAAGAATCTGCAGAACCGATTACAGATGATAGTAGTGACAATGCACAAAGTTGTCCTGAACCATCTGTTGCAGGTGATATATCCTATTTAAAAATATAGTGAAACTCTATTAATTTATATACCATTTTTTTGAATGTGTAGTAAATTAAATTTGTATTTACATTTTTGTTAGCGAATTTTGTTTAAAACTATCTGTGTGTGAATATAACTTAAATAACTAATTTGTTTCTTAAGACATGATAAATTATAATAATATTAACAATTAATTGTTGCAATAGACACAAATGGGGGAGTGTCTCCAGAAACACATGGAACACCTGAGGCAACTGCTACAGAAGAAGTACTCATTGAAGCTATGGACTCATTTAATGATGATAATACAACATTGCTACAAAGACAAACCAAAGTAAACACCACAGGGGAAACAAATGTATTAACATCAATGAGCAGTGATACAATAGAATGCCCTTCTGAAAATCTTTCAGCAAATAATGCAAATGAAATTAGCATAAAACTTATATTCATAAATGATGATCAAAAAGTAGTCACTGGTAGCCTCAAAGAGCTTCTAGGAGACTTTAAAAGGTTGCTACTTTTAAAACTCTTTGAATATTCTATGAATGTATATGTTATGAAAGTATAATCAAATTTTATACTCCTACAGGAGACATTTCCAAATAGAACTTGAATCACAGAAATTGGTACGATTAATTTTTAAAGGTCGGGTATTACAACCTGACAGTCAGACGTTGGAACGATGTGGATTGTACAATAACTGTGTAGTACACTGTCTGGTACATCAGCCTCGACCTAATCCTGTATCACCTCAAACCTCGACATTGAATAATTCATCATCAATTTATTTTAACCCTCAGTCATTTTCGGATATACCTGCTGGTACAGGAATTAGTTCAGTACATAGTGAATGGAATTTGAGTAGACTGTTAGTGAGCGTTTTAACACTGATGTTATGTTTGGCTTGGTATTCTAGATACCACTACGCTCAATTTTTTACTGCAACTACTACGCTTGCATTGTACGCGCTCACTGCAATTTTCACAGTTTCATTGTTCAGTAATTACTTTCCTGACCATGATAATATCAGAAATATTGAATAAATGTAAATTGGTTGTATCAAGAAGTACTTTGAGACATGATTTTGTAATACTAATATTAATATCATTTAAATGTATATGTTCCTAACATTACAAAGAACATGGTGGTCTATTGTGATTTTTATCAATTATTCAAAATAACTTATTTGAGTAAGAAATAAAATACATCCAATAGTTAGTAACGACCGCATTTCAGTTGAAATGGATTTGTAATATATTCGAAATTAATTTATATATGTAGAGAAGATTCTTTTGAGTTAACATAAAAGTATAATAACTTAAGAAAACGTATGTTATCACATGAAATTTGTATCAAGAAATACTTTAGTGAGTAGGCAATACTTGTTCGTTTCAATATATGTGAAATTAATCTTTGATAAATATTATTCGATTGTTGAATTAGTTGTATAATAAATATTATGTACTGTGGTTACAATGGTGCTGTATTGTATTTCAAAGAAGTTTTATTATATATTCATAATTTTGTAGTTTATTTATTGGATTCGAAAATTCTATTATGCATGCGTGACTTAAATCTAAATAAGACACGTATAAAT